CACGGGAGAAGTGATGAAAATAATCTAGGGAAAAGGTTTATTGAAGGGGAGAAGAGTTAGCTAATGCTAAACATGGAGCACCAAGGAAGGTGTAGCTAAACATCGAGTGCGCGGTCGAGTGGAGGGCGTCGGATTAATCGAAAACAGCTGATCGTAATCTGTGGGCGGTACTGTTTGCTGTACTGGCTGCTGCGGAGGAATGTTATGAGATACGTCGTTAAGGCTTGATAAGGGTTTATTAACGGTATATTGATTTAGGGAAACTGAAAACGGTAGTGCACTATCTTACTATTTATGAAACGGTGGTTGTTTTATTGCGCAGGTGTTGTTTCGGTTCAGTACAGTTCAGATGGGACTGGAGCGATAGGAGAATCCTGTGAGCGTTCCATCTTGAGTGGATCGTTGAGACAGGAATTGATGAAGTGCTCAGTTATTGAGACCTAAAACGGAACATCCGTATCGCAACTGGCCAACCAGTTAATGCCCACGTTTCCTGCCCTAGCAGTCCCTGCTGTGGCAGTCACGTGAAGTAAACAAAGGACAGGAAGAGAAATCGAAGGTACAGAATAAGGAAGTGTATTTAAATAAGAAAATAATACCAATGCGTGAAGTAGAGAAAAGAAAATCGAAGTAAGAATATGCGAGTTAGTCAGGAAAAGGTTTCGTGTTGACACCCAAGAGCGTCAAGTTGCCGCTCAAACCCCTTAACCGTAGATTCCCTGATAACACTTTCTGGAAGCATGTTCCAGCGGTCGATAACTCGGCGTGACATCCGGATTTTCGCCCTAATTCGATCGGACCGCGGTTTGTCCAGCTTCAAGGAATGACCGCATAGAACAGATATTCTAGCGGGACTAAATAGCGAAGATAAATCTGGACCAACCTTCCCAGTTAAGATACGGTAGGTTAGGATTAGGTCTCCTCTAGCCCTTCGGTAGTGCACTGAATACATTCCCAAACTAAGTAGGCGCTCGGGGTACGTCCGACCCCGTATTCCCTCGACTAACCTAGTACCCACTCGTAAAACCCTCTCTAGCTCCATTTTGTCCCGGACGAGGCAGGGCGGACAAGCCTGGACGCAGTATTCCACATGAGGCCGAACGAAAGCCGAGAACAGCATCGTAAAGATGCCGCCCGTCAAGACTCCGAAGGAACGTCGTATTAACCACAACATGCGGAAACCTCTGCTTGCGGCCTTCTTCCAGTTGTCGCCGGAGTGTAAAGCCGAAGAGTGTACGACTCCTAGGTCAATCTGGCTAGATACACGGGGGAGTTCGACCCCACCGACCACGTACTTTGTAGGAGGACAACCTCCTCCAATTCGGAGAACGGAGCACTTTGCTTGATTTATGGGCAGTAACCATAAAGTAGACCAGTCCCAAAGCTTATCCAATGCTCGCTGAATAGCTTCGGAACCCCCAGGAACATCGACAATGTTCCACAGCTTCAGGTCATCAGAAAATAGCAGCGATGGTACCTCAAGCTCCGCGGGTAAGTCATCCACATAGATAGAGAACAGCAGCGGTCCAAGGATCGAGACCTGCGGCACGCCACTGAGGACAGACTGCCTAAACGATAGGCCCCGGCCTACCCGTACACACTGTTCTCTACCCTCCAAGAAAGCAGTCACCCAATGAAGGGCGTGGCCAGATACCACGTAAGAGGACGGCTTTTTCGCGAGCCTCAAATGAGGTACCTTGTCAAATGCCTTCGAAAAGCACGTCCAGCGCGTGGCCGTTATCCACTGCATACGCCCAACTTTCGCGAGCCAACAGTAGATTCGTCAGACAAGAAAATCCCTTCCGGAATCCGTGTTGCACATTGCTAAGTAGATTAAATCTACTCAGATGGCTCTTCAATGAATGTCTCACCAGTTTCTCGAGGAGTTTGACTACTACACTCGTCAGACTAACTGGCCTGTAATTTGCAGGCAGACCCCTGTCCCCATTTTTGAAGATGGGACAGATGACAGCTTCCTTCCATTCGGAAGGCAATGCACAGCTGTCAAGCGATTTCTGAAACACAATAGCGAGCGGTCCACTGAGTTCCGCAGCCAACTCATGCAACAGTTTCGAGTGAATTAAATCAGGCCCAGAGGCCTTAGAAGGGTTCAGCCCTTGTAACAGCCTACGAACTTCCGTCTCCGCTACAATAAATTCAGATAGTTCTGAACCCTCTGCGGTCCTGCAAACCAGCTCAACGCCTGTCAAAGAGGTTCCTCTTACAAACGCTGTCGCATATTGCCCACTAAGTACGCAGGCCTTGTCATAGTCCGTATGCGCATGAGTGCCGTCATCACGCATCAGTACTGGAATTGACATGTTCGAACCGCAGCGCCTTTTGACATAAGCGAAGAATCTTTTTGGATTCTCTGAAGCTTCGACCGCTAACCCTTTCTCGAAACTGAGCCGAGCATCCCATTGATGTTGCTTACACCTATTTCTAGCCTTACGGTATCTGTCACAAGTATCGGTAGACGGAGCGTCTCGGTAAGTCCGCCAACATCTAGACCTCTTTGTGAGCAGATGCCTGCCAGTGGGATCTATCCAGGGGCGGCTGTGCTCGGGCCTCCTTTCTCCTTGTGACTGGGATGAAGGGAGCAGAGACCTCTGTGAGGTAGGACTTAAATTTATCCCAGGCAACCTGGGCAGTATCGTCGTCTGAGATCTCACAATGGAAACCAGAAGCCTTGGCTCTCATTGATTGATAGTCTGCGTGCCATATATTCGGGCGAGACTCAACAGTACTCTGGTAACGTCTAGACAGAGTAACACTGAAGAGCAAACAAACATGATCACTGGAACCCAGTGGAGGTCCGTAAGTAATGTCACCAACAAAATCG